CGTCCGTCCTACCTGAACGGAAGAGTCAAAGATCATGAAATGTGTGCTGGAAACATCGAGGGAGGAATAGACAGCTGCCAGGTACAGAGACGTTTAAATCTGGAGGTGTTGATGTCCAACTTCCTGTTTTATTTTGTGGTACAGCCTTATTTCAAGCAATGATTCCAAAAGAGAAAACATGCACTCATCACATATTACTGACAATATTTAAGCTATGACCAGTATAGAAAACATTGTCCACAATTCCAACAAGTCGAATCTTCTAAAACAAACAACATTGGATGGATAAAGCACAGTTCTAACTCCCAAATCAATTCAAATTTCATGAATTACAAACCATCTGATGAAATGTGTTATAGATTTTAAACTTTGCCACCAGATCTGTAAACCTCAGCTCATCAGTTACAGACCTCATCCCTTTCAATATACACACATATATATATATTATGGAAAATTGGTGGAAAACTTGCTGGAAAATTAACCAAACAACATTTTATGCCATTCTATGAGTATAACTGCAAAAAAACTTCAAATAAAGTACAAAGTACTTCTGCTTTCTGGAGAAAATGTCTCTATAGAGAAGCTGATCACTTCAGGGTACTAAACCCCTACCAAAACCTATTAGAAACACTTGTCATCTGATGTAATTGTAAGTTTAATTTTGATTTCTTTGTGAGCTGAGTTGTGAGATGTCTTCTTGTGTGTGCAGGGAGACAGTGGCGGTCCTCTGGTTTGTTATGCTCAGAACCGGTTCGTCCTCCAGGGAGTGACGTCCTGGGGCCTGGGATGCGCCAACGCCATGAAACCCGGCGTCTACGCTCGGGTCTCCAAGTTTGTCGACTGGATTGAGAATACCATCCAAACCAACTAAAAACCGGAACCAAACTGTGCACTTTGATAATGTTACTTCTCTTCAGGTGGCCACTTTGGCTTTTTAGGAGCTTAAAGACGTCTAGAGGAAGTCAGGCTTTGTGTAAAACGTGTTTAAAAAGAGGAGGGCTTTTTGTTTTTGAGCCGTTAGACTGAATTAAACGGTGATACAGTTGTTTCCTCTCCTTCCATCCGGTTGGATTGTATGAACGTCTTCATTTGTTGATTCTCCTCCGGATTGTTTCTCCTGAAAAAAAATAAATTAGGAGTTTATAGGATAAATATGAATGTAGGATGCATCAAACCATATTTTGGACAATTTTTCATACTTGTAAGTTGTTTGAAATTGTTGCAAAGTTAAAAGGTGTACTCCAGAAGGTCCATGATTAATGTAAAATCACTCACCTCTAACAGTGAAACACAAAGGAAACGTGCCTTAGATTGTTTGAATAAAAAATCTGGTTGATCAATGAAACTCAAACCATTAAATGATCAAAAAGGGAGGATCAATCCTGAGTGCTGTATGTGATTGGAACAGTTCGGAGTGTGTGAGTTTGAAGATACCGATCGGGGAACTCGACGTCCTCGATGGTGTCGGGGAGAGGTTTTCCTTTGGTCTCAGGTAGGAGAAGGACCAGGCCTCCGGCCACGAGAGCCACCGCCCCTGGTCCAGATTCACAAACAGTTCGTTAAACGAACGGCAGAAAAGAAACCCCAAAAAACCCAAAAACCTACCAAAGATCAGCAGAGGCAGCTCCAGCCAGACGGCGGCCAGCCGGTAGAGCAGGAAGGGAGAGATTATCCCCCCAACGTCACACAGGGTGGAGCACACCGACACCCCCAGGTTCCTGT